CAGAGCCCCTGGCAGGGCCTGGAGGGGCTCCAGGAGAGCTGGAGAGGGGCTGGGGACAGGGCAGGGAGGGACAGGACACAGGGAATGGCTTCACTGCCAGAGGGCAGGGATGGATGGGACACTGGGAACTGGGAATTTCTCCCGGGGAGGGTGGGCAGGCCCTGGCAGTGGTGACTCTGCAGTGTCTGTGCTGCCCTGGAGCGCTACCTTTGATCTGGCAGAGCACCTCTGCCCGCTGCTCCCGGGGCTCTCCCTGTTCCAGCACAGACCTTCTCCTTGTCACAGGGTTTGGGACAGCCAGAGGGACTCAGGCACATTCCCTGGGACAGCTGAAGCTACCCAGGGCAGTGGCACCACCTCCCACAGCTCCACCTGAATTGAGCTTCTTGCTACAAGGGAGCACAGCACTGAAAAGTGTCCTGTCTGTTATAAGCAAAAACGGACAGCAAATATTATTTTAAATTATTATATCTCAGGGAGTTTTAATTATTACCCTCAAGATTTTTTAATAACATATATAACGTATTTACCTACGAATTCCAGCCCATGCTGGATACTTTCACTCACGAACATATTAGTCATCCCTTAATTATTGCTACCCAGCCTTATTAATATGTATAATACGCGTAAAGAGCTCCCTGGCAGGGATGCATTTTAATGAAGACACTGAAAGGCAACACACAGTAATTTCTAGAAGGTTGTGTCATGGTTGACAATAGCAAACCAAAGCAGCCCAGGGATGGGATGAGATGTGGAAGGAGAAAAATCAAATTCGTTTTAATATTCTAATGATAAACTTAATTTCAGAGAGGACACCTGGGGCACAGGACACACAAGGAAGGGGACACCCAGGGCACAGGACACTCGGGGTTTGGGATGGCAGGGACAAAGGATGCACATGGCATGGGACACTCGGGGCACAGGACACTGCGGGCACAGGACACCGGGGGCAGAGGACACACAGGGCACGGACACAGGACCCCAGGGACAGAGGACACACAGGGAATGGACACAGGACCCCAGGGACAGAGGACACACAAGGCAC